GACAGCCTTCGGGTTAGCAGTCAAATGCCTTACGCACTATGCCATCAGAGCTCGGATTAGAAATTACAACTCATATTTTTGAGGGACACATTTAAATACATAACAGGGTAAACAAGCCCAAAATTCTTAACAGCCAAGTGCCAGGTCTCTTTCTCACCACCTGCTTGTTTTAGTATTTTTAAGCCCCTGGTTTCTGGACAGTGGTGCCCTGGTGGTGCAGTGGTTAAGCACTCGGCTGTTAATGAAAAGTTTGGCTCTTTGAACCCACCAGCTGCTTCAGAGGAGAAAGATGTGGCAGTCTGCTTCCATAAAGATTTCAGCCCTGGAAGTCCTATGGGGCAGTTCTACTCTGTATAGGGTCACATGAGTCAGAATGAACTGGACATCAACCAGTTGGTTTACCAGGACGTTTGATTTTTTGCAGTCTTTCACTGACAAACTTTAAATGGGACCTCAATCTTTACAAGTTTACACCTGAAAAATGATACATCTGTCCCAGATTCTTGTCCTCACCCTCCTGCACCCGCCAAACACACACACTGGCAGTCTTTAGGGATGGTTCTAGCAAGATTTGACTACACAAAATGGATAAATGGTTATTCATTATGTTTATAGGAATTCTGGAAAAAAAAAATATCTCAGAAATAGGATGTTTGGGTTTGTTTCTTTCAACATCTTTTTTTACTTTCTACTTTGGAATTTTTCTCTAAAACCTATCTAATATGGGTTTATTTCTTTAATTAAAATAAACAATCTTTTCCCTAAGGTGGATGACATGCTCAGGAAAATTCATCCACAGGCTCTAATTTATGGAAGGGGGCGGGGGCCGCCTGGTTGGCCAAGAGAGTACAAGCTCTGGAAGTTCATGTTGGAAAGTAAAACTATGTGCCTTCCATTCCTGAGATTTTATGATTCACCCTTTCTAGAAGACATGTTGTTGTTAAGTGCCATCCGGTCCGCCCGGACTCATAGCGACCCCTCCTTGGGTTTCCGAGGCAGTATCACTAAGGAGGTAGATTGCCCAACATTCCTTCCGAGGAGTGGCTGGTGGATTTGAACCGCAGCCTTCTGGTTTGTAGTCAAGTGTCTTAGGCACTAGGCCACCAGAGAGCTCCTCTAGGACACATAATCAACTGAAAAAGAAAAAAAAAAAAAAAAAACCTTTAGCTCCACGTACACAAGCTTAAGAAATTGCGAAGGGCCAGTATGCACGCTCCGTACTCTAGCCGGCTCCCTAAACTGGATGCTAATGCGCCTGCGTGCTGGAAGAGGCCTCTCTGCGCGCGGGAAGCAACCGGGATAACCCGGATGGGCGCCCGGCAGAGGCGGAGCTTTCTGCGGGCTTTTCTCTGTGACAGCTAGCCGACAGATTCCTATTTAGGAGTCGGACCTGACGAACCGCGACCTGCACTGGTTCCGATACGCCAGGGTTTGGGCTCCAGGCTGAGTGGAGAGTGGAATTGGAGCCTGAAATGAGCCTCGCCTGACTTGAGTCCGGCGCCTTACCCTCCGAGATGGGCGAGTGAAGACTGAGCGGTGTTTTGCTTGCCGCGCCGTTGGCGCTCTTTGCTAGCCTGGGCCAGCTTTAAAATGTTGGGCGTCCTTAGAAATATTAACACTTAAAGATCCTCGCAGTTAATACCTGCATGTTCCTTACATGCATTCTCATACTTAAACCCCACAACAGCCTTATAAGGTAGGTACTATTATCATCTCCTTTCGAGGAACTGAGGCTTTGAAAGTTCTCTCAGCCTTTAAGTGACTAAGCGAGGATCTCAGATATCTGCCTCTGGAGCGCATGCTCAACTACTGCATTCCTGATCGATTTTTTCCTAGTGAGTTTAATTTAAAACGTTGTGACTGAAGCTTCCACCTTCCAAACACCCACACATACCATGTACTTGGAAAGGCTGGGACTAAATATATGTCGAATTGTTTTAAGTTTACAACTGCCCCCTGATGAATATTTCTGTTTTGTGAATGGATTCTTTTCTTAATTGTGATAGTTTTTCATATCTACTCGATACATTTTCAAAATCATTTCACTTTGTTATATCAGAGCTTTCATTTTAGCATCTTAGGATATGTCTCAAAAGATTAAAAAGAACCATTCTGAAAACATTTCCAGTTTAATGCATTGTGGTTTTTGTTTATATTTTACTATGAAATGTTTTTTTACAAATAGTAAAAATGGTGAGTGATATGTACTAATGATCCAGCTTCAACAGGTACCAACTCAGATGAAATGCCAATTGTATTTTATTTTCTCCACTTCACTTTGTGTGTATGTTTGTGTATGTGCTGAAGTACAGTGTTTCAAAGGAAGTTCTAGACATCTTATTTCACTTATAAATAGTTAAGTCTGGATCTCTAATAAGAACTTTTTAAAAAAATACAACCACAAGGTCATTATCACACCTGTTTAAATTAACAATCATTCCTTAATATGATGATGCTTTTTTAATGTTTACATTTTTTAGGATATTGTGATTGCTAGATACCACAAAGGAGCATGTGAAAATTGTGAGGTTCTAAAGCACAAGAAAGCCTCCTGTGTGGTAAGTTCATCTTTGAGGATCTAGAAAATTCTTGGTACCTAGTTCTTTTTTTGAGGAAGGTAGATAATACTACAAATGGACTTTTCTGAAAACTCTTATTTAAAATATCAATCTTAAATCAAAATTATAAACTTGAGTAGCATAGTCAGATGGGTAGGAATGGACTCTTTACAGATCCTGTAATGATTTCTAATGAGACTAAAACAAAACTATTCCCTTCACCCCTTGTCCTTCCCAAAATATGCACACTAAATATACATAACAGAATGCAGAAAGAGAAGCATTTTTATATTCATCTAATAATTTTATTTTTTGTCAGAAGTGGTTCTGAACACACTTGACTATATAATTTCATTTCTTGGCAAAAGAAGGCATAAGATCAACTCTTTAAACTTAAGATCCTCTTTATATAGTAACAGATATCCCTCAATAACTGACTGGCTTAACATTATTTGTTACATAAAAGTACATTTTGCAACTAGTTTACATGCAGATCCATTAAGGAGCTCTGGTGGTACAGTGGTTAAGGCATTTGGTTAAACCTTTTGGTTAGCAGTTCAAACCCACCAGTCACTGTGGGACAAAGATGAGGCAGGCCATCTGCTTCCTTAAAGATTTTCAGCCTTGGAAGCCCTGTGGGGGTCACCATATGAGTAGGTAATCAGTCGCTATGATTGGGTCACTATGAGTGTGAATCTACTCAATAATAGTAGGTTTGGGTTTGATTTTATCTTGCAGATCCATTAGAAAACTACTTTATTGTGCCTTTTTTTAATGACCAAAATGGGCATTTGAGTTTAAATGTATTCATATTAAATTATTTCAGCCACATTCTGTGACATAGAACTTTGGAAATGTAGGAGATCACATATTTATCTTGGAGATAGAATGTTTTCTAGGTATATTTAAGCCTACCTGTGGATTATACCTTTGCTCATTGCTAAAGAGGGTGAAAAAGAGAAAAAGTATCGTTTTCTTTGTAGATCCTTCAACTTTCATAGGAGGTTGTCATCAAATCAAAACACTTAAATATGTGTTCAGTCATTTGGACTTTCACTTGGCAACCTAGAATATCTGCAGCCTAGGGATTTACCACAACGATATGCTTTCATTCCTCTAAATCTGACTGTTCATTCAGATGTGCATCAGAATCACCTGGACTTTATTTCAGATCATTTTGCCTTAGGATGATTTGTTAGTTTTGAGATAGTTCAAGGTCACATATACTTTCAAAGACATTCTTAGTGATGATGATAGTATCTCTTGTTAAGGATTTATTATTCATAAGAATTTTCTAAAATGGTTGTTTAAGATACAGATACTGGCACCCTCCTTCAGAGCTAGAGAATCAATCTCTGAAGTTTGGGCCTTTATAGCATTTTAGCAAGGGACTCAGATGATTTTCCATTTACTGAACTGGAGAACCACTGCTTTCTACATACTGTCCTTGTGTTAAGCCAAAAAAAAAAAAACCCTCATTGCCGTCAAGTCGATTGTGACTCATACTGACCCCTCTTTGGGTTTCTGAGGAGGTATGTCTACAGAAGTAGATTGCCTAGTCTTCCTAGTGGCTGGTGGGTTTGAATCGCCAGCCTTCTGGTTAGCAGTTAGATGCCTTAGGCACTACCAAAAAACAGACCCACTGCCATAAGTTGATTCCTACTCATAGTGAATTTTTAGAACAGGGTAGAACTCCATAGGGTTTCCAAGGCTTCTTGAGCAAAACAGACTGCCTCATCTTTATCCCACAGAGCAGCTGGGGGGTTTGAACCACCAGCCTTTTGGTTACCAGCCAAATGCTTTAGTCAATACACTACTTCTTTGGCTTCTTTGGCCAAACCTTAAGAGGTGGCTTATTTCCATTCCATTGTTTAGGATTATTTCTTCACTGCTTTTACAGAGGGATAGTTAAAAAGCATCCTGAAATTCCTTATTATAGTTAAGATTATCCTCCTATGAGAAAAATGTTTCTGAAATCTCAATAATAAGAGTACTTGTTTTCTCCAGAGCACCTTGTTTTGGTTTTATTATGAAAGTAGTATGAATCACTTATTGATAATGTGTTACATATTACTCTAGTAAGGAAGCTCTGAGCCATATTTGTAGCATACTTCTGTATCAATGATGGCTTAATCAGACTTAAAGACCTATTTGGAATTCTCTGCTTAAGTTGAAGTCAAAGCTGCTCATGCTTAAAAAAATTTTGATCTATGTAATCCTTAACTAAAAAGAACTAGAACTAATCACCATGTCATAATCTGCCCTTCCATAGAGTATTTCATAAATTACTCCTTCCTCTGTTCAGTGGCTCTTAACTGAGCATCCTTGGGACAAGATGGCAGGGAGGGGATGCTGAGCTGCCCTTTCTGTGGGTACAAAATGTGTCAGATTTGTTTGGAACATACATCATTGAAGACAAATTTAAGTATAACTGTGTAATTTACCTAAACTCAAATCTTGTATATGTAACTTGCTGTCAAGTCATTTATTCTAGGGAATTAGCTAAGATTTCCTAGCTTTAGATTGGACTGTCATGCTGTTCAAAGTGGCTTACTTTGAACTGACATATTGTCGGATATTTCTTGATATGCACAGGTGACAGGATGGCATGTGATGTTAGCCACTTATTTTTAATGTGTGGGTTATATTTTACTCCCAAAGCAAAATTCTGCAGCATTTCTGGAGTACCACCTGAGAATTGTTGTATACCATGTCGAAGAAGCGCAAATGGGATGATGATTATGTTCGTTACTGGTTTACTTGCACAACGGAAGTTGATGGAACTCAACGCCCACAATGTGTTTTATGTAATTCATTATTTTCAAATGCTGATCTCAGACCATCAAAACTGTCTGACCATTTTAATAGACATCATGGTGGTATAGCTGGGCATGATATCAGTAGCCTGAAGCACATGCCAGCACCATCTCATCAGAGTAAAACCATGAAAGCGCTTGGAGTTGCATCTCAAGAGGATGCCTTATTGCAAGCCTCATATCAGTTTGCATATTTATGTGCCAAGGAAAAGAATCCTCATACAATAGCTGAAAAATTAGTGAGACCTTGTGCATTGGAAATAGCACAAATAGTTTTGGGACCAGATGCACAAAAGAAGCTTCAGCAGGTTCCCTTATCACATGATGTGATCCATTCTAGAATAGATGAAATGAGCCAGGATATTTTACAACAAGTTCTAGAAGATATCAAAGCCAGTCCTCTTAAAGTGGGTATTCAGCTTGCTGAGACAATTGACATGGATGATTGCAGTCAGCTAATGGCATTTGTAAGATATGTAAAAGAAAAAGAGATAATAGAAGAATTCCTGTTCTGTGAATCACTCCATTTAACCATGAAAGGAATAGATGTGTTCAGTCTTTTCAGAGACTTCTTTTTGAAACACAAAATGGCACTTGATGTATGTGGCTCCATTTGTACTGATGGTGCCTCCTCTATGCTAGGAGAAAATTCAGAATTTGTTGCCTATGTGAAGAAAGAGGTACCTCATATCGTGATTACACATTGTATGTTGAATCCTCATGCACTTGTCACAAAGACATTGCCAACAAAACTGAAAGATGCCCTGTTTACTGTGGTGAGGGTAATAAATTTCGTCAAAGGACAAGCTCCAAATCATCGCCTCTTTCAGGCTTTTTTTGAAGAAATTGGTATAGAGTACAGTGTCCTCCTTTTCCATACTGAAATGAGGTGGCTTTCCCGAGGCCAAATACTTACTCATATTTTTGAAATGTATGAAGAAATAAATCAGTTTCTTCACCACCAAAACAGTAATTTAGTCGATGGCTTTGAAAATAAAGAGTTTAAAATTCACTTAGCATACCTCGCAGATTTATTCAAACACCTAAATGAACTTAGCGCATCTATGCAAAGGACTGGGATGAACACAGTATCAGCTAGAGAGAAGGTATCTGCTTTTGTTAGGAAGTTTCCATTTTGGCTAAAGCAAATTGAGAAGAGAAATTTTACCAACTTTCCTTTTCTTGAAGAAATACTTATTTCAGATAATGAAGGAACATGCATTGCAACTGAAATAACACTACATCTGCAGCAATTGAGCAACTTCTTTCATGGATATTTTTCTGTTGGAGATCTTGATGAAGCAAGTAAGTGGATATTGGATCCATTTCTTTTTAATTTGGATTTTGTTGACGATGGTTACTTAGTGAAAAATGATCTTGCTGAATTACGAGCTAGTGGCCAAATCCTAATGGAATTTGAGACAATGAAGCTTGAAGATTTCTGGTGTGCTCAGTTCACAGTGTTTCCAAACCTGTCAAGGACAGCTCTAGAAACCCTTGTGCCGTTTGCAACTACATACCTTTGTGAGTTGGGATTTTCATCACTTTTACATTTTAAAACAAAATCTAGAAGCTGCTCTAATGTGAGTGATGACATTCGTGTGGCTATTTCAAAAAAGGTTCCTCGTTTTTCAGACATCATTGAACAAAAGATACAGCTACAGCAGAAGTCACTGTAAGCTGATATACTTTTATGTATAATTATTAATATATTCTTAATGCCATTGTAAGAATTAAACTGTAAATATCACTCTTTTGTATTTATAATGTACCAAATCCTAAGTGGGAAAAATTAAACAACTTCAACTTTCAATGAGGCAAGTGAAGATGTTTGAGAATAAGAGAAGCTAACACAAACAGCAGAAAAGATTAAATACCATTGCCTAGGAGCTCTGGTAGCATAGTGGCTAAAGCACTTGACTGCTAACCAGAAGGCTGGCGGTTCAAACCCACCAGCCACTCCTCGGAAGGAAGGTTGGGCAATCCTACTTCCGTAGTGATACTGCCTTGGAAACCCAAGGAGGGGTCACTATGAGTCGGGGCGACTCGACGGCACACAACAACAACAACAGTTGATACATAGAATTTTTCTAATTCTGAGTATCTATTTAACCTTTTGACATGATATGGAAAGAAGACTCCAAACCACCAGAATATCCAGCTAAATGGTACAGTTAATCAATCTGCTTCCATTAAGATTAAGCCATGAAAACCCCATGAAGCAGTTCCACTCTGTAACACACGGGGTCACCATGAGATGGAATCAACTAAATGGCAACAACTCTTTTTTTAATGTTCTCTTTGGAATTAGTCTCACAATGTCCATTTCCCTAGCCCCCATAATCTAAATACTGTGATATTAAAAAACATACTGATAATCTATTAGTCACTCTTTGTCTTCTTTTAATTTAGGATTTTAATGCATCAAGGCTGCTGAAAAGAAGATTCCAGAGCCTTTCTCTAGACATTCTGATTTAGCAGGTCTGGGATAAGGTCAAGGATCTTCATTCTTAACAAGCATTGCAAATATTTCCAATGGATTCTTTGGTCCTGTACCTCATCTTACTTTTCCTACACTTACTTGTGCTTTACCCAGTTTCTTCACTTATTTCATATCTTATGCTGTCTTAGTTACCTAGTGCTGCTGTAACATAAATACCACAAGTAGATGGCTTTAATAAACAAATTTATTTTCTCGGTTTTGAAAGCTAGAAGTCTGAATTCAGGGTGCAGGTTTTAGGGGAAGGCTTTTTCCCTCTTTCAACTCTGGGGAAAGATCCTTGTTTCTTTGAGCTTGTTTCCTAGTTCCTTACAGATCTCCATGTAGCTTGGCATCAGTCTTCTCCCATGTCTGGTTTCTTCACTTGTTTCTTTAATCTCTTTTTATATCTCAAAAGAGATTGACTCAAGAACACACTACCCTAATCCTACTTCATTAACATACCAAAGACAACCCATTCCCAAATGAGATTATAACCATAAGGGAAGAACATGCTCGGCATTTCTCAAGCTGAAAGAACTGAGGAAAAAATGTAAGCCTCTAGTTGCAATATTGAAAGATTCTATGGGCAAAATATTGAATGATGCAGGAAGCATCAAAAGAAGATGGAAGGAATACACAGAACCACTGTACCAAAAAGAACTGGTCAATGTTCAACCATTTCAGGAGGTGCCATGTGATCAAGAACCAATGGTACTGAAGGAAGAAGTCCAAGCTGCACTGAAGGAATTGGTGAAGAACAAGGCTCCAGGAATTGACAGAATACCCATTGAGATGTTTCAACAAACGAATGCCTGCTGGAGGCACTCACTCAGTTATGCCAAGAGATTTGTAAGACAGCTGCCTGGCCAACTGACTGGAAGAGGTCTTTGTACCTATTCCAAAGAGAGGTGATCCCACAGAATGTGAAAATTATCAAATAATATCATTAATATCACATGCGAGTGAAATCTTACTGAAGATAATTCAAAAATGGTTGCAGCATTATATTGACAGAGAACTTCCAGAGGTGCAGGCTGGATTCAGAAGAGGACGTGTGTGGTAGTTCAGTTTGTGTGTCAACTTAGCTGGGCCTGGTTGAGTGGCTGGGCAGCTGGTGGTAGTTATTCTCCATGATGAGACTGGCAATCAGCTCCATGGTGGGATCTACCACAAGCACATCCCTTTGGGATGTGGTCTGCTTCCTATATATAAGAAGAAGCCTTGGGAATGGTCTCTAGTTTATGGCACACTTGGACCCTGCATGTAGCCGTGCTCAGCAGCCTGCTTTGCTCTGCTGACCTTGGGACTTATAATGGACTTAAGTTAATGGCCTGCCATGTAGTTTGGTAACATCAGGACTGTGCCTTTGTGCTTGTCAACCTTGGGGCTTCTCAGCCTCCACAGCCAGCAGCTGTCTGAGTGAAGAAACACCTCTAGCTCCAGTGGGCCAGGAGCAGGAGGCAGAGCTGGACTCAAGGTTGAAGGGCTTTCACCGAGCCCCTAGAGCCTGGCACTTTGAACTTGGACTCAAAGCCTCCAAATTGTAAGAATAAACTCCTGTTTGTTAAGGCCATCTAATTTGTGGTATATTTCTTCTCAGAGTGGCCCTAGGTAACCACAACAACGTGGAACAAGGGATATCATTGCTGATGTCAAATGGATCTTGGCTCAAAGCAAAGAATACCAGAAAGATGTTTACTTGTGTTTTACTGACTGTGCAAAAACATTTGATTGTGTGGGTCATAGCAAATTGTGGATAACATTGAGAAGAATGGGAGTTCCAGAACACTTAATTGTACTCATGAGGAACTTGTACATAGACGAGGAAGCTGTTCGAGCAGAACGTAGGGAATCAAGAAGGGAGTGTGTCAGGGTTGTATCCTTTCACCGTACTTATTCAATCTATATGCTAAACAGATAATCCAAGAAGCTGGACTATATGAAGAAGAATGTGGCATCAGGATTGGAGGAACAATCATTAACAACCAGTGATACTCTGACAACACAACTTTGCTTGCTGAAAGTGAGGATGACTTGAAGTACTTACTGATGAAGATCGAAGACTACAGTCTGCAGTATGAATTACATCTCAATATAAAGAAAACAAAAATTCCCACAACTGGACCTGTAAGCAGCATCATGATGAGTGGAGAAAAGATTGACGTTGTCAAAGACTTCACATTGCTTGGTTCTACAATCGACACCAGTGGAGGCAGCAGTCAGGACATCAGACGATGTATGTCACTGGGCAGGTCAGCTGCAAAGGACCTCTTTCAAGTGCTGAGGAGCAAAGATGTCTCCTTGAGGACTAAGGTGCACCTGACACAAGTCATGATATTTTCAATCACCTAATATGCATGTGAGAGCTGGACAATGAATAAAGAAAACTGAAGAAGAATTGATGCTTTTGAGTTGTGGTGCTGGCAAAAAGTGCTGAAAGTACCATGGACTGCTAAAAGAATTAACAGACCTGTCCTGGAGGAAGTGCAACCAGAATGCTTCTTGGAAGTGAGAATGACCAGACTTCGTCTCACCTACTTTGGTCATGTTGTCAGAAAGGACCATTCCCTGGAGAAGGATGTCATGCTTGGTAAGGTGGAGGGTCAATGAAGGAGGGGAAGGCCCTCAATGAGATGTATTGACACAGTGGCTGCAGCCATGGGCTCAAGTATAGCAGGGATCGCGGAGCTGGTGTGGGACCCGGCAGTGTTTTGTTCTGCTGTGCATAGGGTTACTATGAGTCAGAGATGACTCAATGGCACCTAACCAACAGGTAAAATGGCACCATCCTCTAGACCTTCTTGTCATTTGTCTTTTAAACCCATCTTTTCCAGCCCTCTGAGTGCCCATCAAACCATTAGTAACTACTCTTGGATACTACAGTCAGTGGTAAATTACCTAGTAAGCAAAATAACTGTGGACTTGTGCTTACTTACTAATCTGTAGTGAACAATTTCACATGAATGTGGTAATCCAATACTGATTACAGTGTAGATCTATACTTCCAGATATTGCTTAGTTCAGACATAGTAGACAACTAAATATAGTTCACAAAATTCCCTAGGAATTTTTCCCTTCATTTCAGAGACATATCTGATTGGGGTTGTAATGCTGTAGTAGTTTTTCAACAATAGGTTAGTCCTGAGCATTCTGAGCAGGATAAACTATAACTCAGACCTAAATTTCTTCTCAGTCAGCTGGTCATAGGGAACTCCCTATGCAGCTAAAATTATGGATTAAAAAAAAAAAAAAAAGGAAGTCTTGCAGCAGGAGTAGGTATCAAAGGAGTTGAGCTACCACCTATTCAGGCAACTTATTTGTACTTCCCGTACCTGCGTGATGTCTATCTTTCAATTACCATTTTTACCTGATGATAGATTTCTGCTGCACACTCTCTAATTTATAGCTTTATGGTTGGATAGCACCAAGTCTCGTGGTTAGTTGTTCGGTCTTAGCAGGGCCTAATAACAAGAAGGAGCTATTTCTCAAAAGGAGAGTACACCTACTCACTTAACAACTATCTCATTATCTGACATTTTGCATTTATGACAATAATGAAAAATCTACTATCTGACTATTTTGCACATTAACAAAATGGTGGGTGTTGCAGCAATGTCTGTGAAGCATCCTTTCCCTCAAGTTGGGTCTTGAGTGGTCTCTGAGAAGCTGGGCCACACTGCCCATGCCCTCTATTCCCTCTTGCCTGTGGAGGTATCATGCCCAGCTGCCATGCAGGGCCAGGTGCCTCAGTGGCCACAGCCTCCATTCTGCGTTCCTAGCTCCTATGCAACCTTGAATGCCAAGAGATATTGGGGAGGGTGTTTGGAAGAAATGCATATGAGTTTAATGACATCTCAAAGTGAGCTGAACTAGACCTGGAGCCTTCAGCTTGGTGAGGCTGGATGCATAGTCAGACTCCCAGTGCCCTCACAGGAAGACCTGAGCCTCAGCAGCTCCATGAGGGAAGCTCTGACCAAACACAGGAAGAAGTCACACAGTACAACTTTCTGCACCTTTGTTTCCTCCAAGCCTCATTCTATGCAAATGAATAATCCATAACTGGACTCGTCACAGTGATGAGCACATCAGTAAATCTTAGCTGTTATTTCTGTGATCATTTTTTCTAAATTTAGAAGAAATCAGACAAATGGATGGTCTGAAAACAAAACAAAAAAAAAATCCCCCATTTTCACACAATGCTGATTTTTTCATAATAATCTGATCTTTGCGATTTGTCTTGGTTCTCTAGTGCTGCTATAACAGAAATACCACAAATGGATGACTTTAACAAACAGGAATTTATTCTTACAATTTAGGAGGTTAGAAGTCCAAATTCAGAGTGCCAGTTCTAGGGACTGGGTGAAGGCACCTCAATGTTGGACTTCAGCTCT